GACGAAGGGCAAGAACAGGCGAGTGGTGAGATTGGACAGAACACAGATGACATTAACAAGCATTAACAATGGTGTCCGGAACAATGGCCACTGTCCTTCTGAAGGAAACAAAGGTAGCGTGCCTGAAGTGTGGATGAAGTTTACAAACATTGAAAAAATCCGAGAACACTATCTGGCTTATGCTCGAAGTGTAGGTTTCCAATGCGGACTAGGACAACTCGCAAAGCCAAATCACATAGCTTTTTGCTTTTGGCTTTTTGTGTAAAGTATGTAACAAATATGATAACTTTCTCTGAGTTCCATGCATATAAACTGATGTAAACCTGATGTAACTCTGTCTTCACATACATTCTCTCTGTGAAGTGTGTGACATAGACAGTTATTCCATGTGAGCACCATAAAATCTAATGTATTCATTTTAACTTTCTTTTTACCTTTACAAGACCCCCACATATGTGATAAGATTCTGAAGATGGTGTATGTGCATAAAGTTATGCAACTCTTTCGTCACATACATTAAATCTCTGTGTAATGAGTAAAATAGACAGTTATTCTCTATGAGGGATCTGAAAGTAAATCTGTAAATCAGTCATAACCTATATGAGTGTTTAATGTAAAACAATCCTCTGCACAACTGCAAAAAACAGCCGTAAGAATTGAATTAAATTAAATGTATTAACTGAACAAATTTTCATTTGGAAAGAAATGAATAGCGGGTGGACAAAACACTCCCTCCAAACACTGCTTTCGGTATAAAGTCCAATAACCAGTGGGGTACATTTTGGCTAACTGTATTGTAATTGCTTACGAACCAAAACTACTTACACCACACCAGAGTGTAATTGCTTAAGAACCAATTGTATTGTATTGTAATTTGCAGCGCAGAGTGCATCACATACACTAACACATTGTGCATTAACAAGTACAAATTCATGATTATAAAAGCCCCATTACAAAACTTTCAAAAAATCTAAAGTGTTTCTCCAAAAAATACATTACAAAGCACATAAATCATTACAGTTTCACAAAAATAAAAGACCCCTAAAACTGTAAAGTAAAAATGCTAAATATTGGTTGTTTTCCTTTCACGCCATAACCTAGCTGCAAATTGACATCGGAAATCAGCCATGTGTTCAGAACTGCAGTCCAGGCTTAATGGTAAGCCAACCAACAAAGACTCTAGAAATGCAAGCACTATCACTCCACAATTGTCATACCTGCAAGGGAAAATAATATTTAAAAAAAGTAGGGGGTATGATTTTCACCACTCCATGGGAGTACCATGACGAAGTAATGGCAAACAAACCTAGAGTCCTGTTGCGGAATACCATTGACAATAACTGTTTCTCATTCCTTCTTCAAAGTGTTTGCACCCACACCCTTAACCGTGCGAAGTAGAGGGGGTATTCTTCTTACTACTTCTTGAACATAAAATGAGGATTTCGGCCCTTTCAAGGAGTCATAAACTCGAACTTGATTTCGTAAGAGGTCTATTTCAGCTAGAACCCAATGTCTCCCATCTCCATTCACGGGCAAAAAAATCTACGCATCAAGGGAGAAAAAAAGAGCTAACTGTCTATTTTACAAAACACACAGACAGTTTATGTATGTGAAGAGAGATTCACATGAGTTTAAGTTCATGGAATTCAGAAGAAGCATAGTACATTTTCGCAGACAATAATGTTATATGAAGTTCAAATAACAGAACTTAACCATCTATGTCATACAATTCACACAGTGAATGTGATAAAACTCTTGATAAAACTTTGGCAGTGAATGTGATAAAACTCTTGATAAAACTTTGGCAGTGAATGTGATAAAACTCTTGATAAGCTTAAGTTGGTATTGCCAGGTCGAGCTAGTTTATTTCCTCTACAAGAGGGATCTTGTCTACCTGATACCATAAAAACCTAATATGCTGCACAAGAATCACTATGTAGAATGATCAATAATTCTAAATTACTTTGGAATTAGCATCGTACCTGCGTTGGAGGAGTGGACGGAGAGAAGGACGGAGAAGAAGGACTTCGTCGCAGGCTGCGAGTTGAAGCGAGAGAAGGAAGACCTGCGCTGGAGGAGTGGACGGAGAAGAAGGACAGAGATGAAGGACTTGGGAGAAGGGAGAGCGTCGCAGATGCCGGAGAAGAAGGACGAAGAAGGACGGAGAGGTTGTAGAGGTTGAAGCGGGAGAAAGGAGATTTGGGATTTTTGGGGCTGGAGACGAAAAACCACCCAAAAAAACTGAAAAAAAATAAATTTTAAATATATTGGGTGGCATGCTTGGAGGCACATGTGGTGCCTCTTTAGCATTTTCCTTTTATTAAATCCTCATAAGAATAATCATTATTATCTAAAAAATAAATATAGTAATGTTTCGTACTTCATAAGAATTTTAAATAATACTAATCTTATAATTAAATCTCAGGAATGTAATATGTAAGGACTAAGCACATCATTTATACCTCATAAAATTCTCGTAGAGTTACTATCCGCACTGGAGATCGAACACGGGGCTTCTCATTTAGGAGAGTCATAGTGGTATCATTGGACCACAAAGTCCTTAGCAGATTAATTATATGATTAAGCACATACCTAGAAAATGTAGCAAGTATTTCATTACATCTCAATATTCGTACGATTAACTTATATGTACTATTCCATCCAATCGTAATCTGTTTAACAAAAGTTATTAATTTTATATTCCTAGATTTACAGAAAAACTTTCATGCATGAGAATTATTACGATTGCCCCAAATTAATTTTGAACCAACCTTAATGTTGGTCAACCCTCCCCCCGTATAACTTGTAACTCCTATTGAAAATACAAATTAAAAATACGACATGCACACATTTGGTGTAGAAATTTACTCATGACGTTGTTAGGAGGACAAAGTTCTTTAAGTTCAGAAATGGCAGCGGTGTTATTAATAGCATTATCAAAACCAAATCCAAACACCTTATCAAGTAAATTGTATTTGTTCAGAATACGTTCAAGCAAAATATCATTATTATCACTCATGTGAGATTCATTGAAATCACGAAACACAAGAACATGTTTATGCATCACTCAATCACTATCTATCCAATGACAAGTAACACAAATGTAAGACAAGTTATGATAAATTTCACTCCAAATATCATAACAAATGGTACATGAGATTTAAAATAAGAAAAGAGTTCGCCAAATTATTTTTTTAACACTATATTGTTTAATTATTTCTATCTTAATTGTTTTTTCTTGAAAATCTTCTTGCTTGAGGGTTAAGTGCATTTTGATAATAATTAATAAAGCCACATTTTCCAAAGAACATGAATAATAAGTTCTCACAAATTATCTCAATCATTTTTTATTTCGATCGTCGTTATAAACAAAAAAGTTGTTCTTACCATTGTTCGCAATGCGAGAAATTAGGGTTTGTCTTCCCTTTGCACTCGTTTTTGCAAACTCCACGGGTGTCTCGCTTTGAAGTATTTGGTCGGCGAATCATAACCCCTCATTAGTGCTTCCCTTGTATAGAATCTAAGTTTCCCCTTTCGTATTTTAAATGATCCAAATCAAAATCGATATTTCTATATAGGAGAAAAGTATGAGATTTATGTTATTTCGTTATTCTCTTTAAAAATTGGCAAATTTTACGGTGCATCCAGATATGCATACTCTTTTGTTGCATGTGTAAAAAATGAGTATTGTGTAACATGTGCATGTTGATACACTAATTGTAGAATGTGTATGCTATAAGTATGTATTAAGAAAGAAATGTATGTTTTGATGCCCCTGACTTTATTCTCTTGCATCTTTGCTCAAAATGTTTGATCAACTTTAAATTTGGACAATTTTATGCCTAATGCAAACACATTTTACTTGTGGATTTGGTGATCTTTTGACTTTATAAATCTCGGGTCAAACACTTGCTCTTCATATATTCCGAGTAATTTGGAAGGACAATAATGTATGTGTTTGGTGTTGTGAAAATCTGACGCCACCTAATACCTGGGCTAATGCACAGTGTAACTTCAAAAATCAATGACGAGCCATCACACCCCCAAACTAAAGGCTGATGGACCGATTACAACTATTGGAAGATGTTGGACACGACCACATTAAGGATTCTTAAAGTCAATATGGACGTTTTTTATGAACACGGTTGATAATGTGATAGTACTTGACTTTGTTGCTCGGGCTCATAATGACATATGTGTGGTTGCAAAAAAGTTAAGTGTAGGGATAGTTATAGGCACGGAGAAGTAGAAGCTACAACGATTAAAGAGGCATTGAGACATAAAACATGCCACAAAGAAGTTGTTAGTCGTTAACATATTCTATACCTTAATTTTAGATTTTTTTAGTGTTATTGACTATATTAAAAATGTTATTTGTTCATATTATCATGTCAGAAAGCATATCAGAATATTTTAAAAATATAAAATTTTAGATTTTTTGGATCTATGAAAAAGATTTATGAAATTTTTTATTTCCCTATTTAATAATCAATATATTTATGGAAATAAAATTTATAAACTTTGGAAATTTTATATTTAGATTGGGTAGGAAACAAAATTTTTATTTTCATAAAATATTAATTTTTGAAATATTTAAGATATTCAGAATTAATTTTGGATAACTTTTGTATTTAACAAAAAAAAGTTTTTAAGAGATATGAAATTATTACAAGCTAAAATATGTATGGACTTGTAAATTGTTACACTTAAAACAAGTCCCTTGTGACCCAATGAAATAAGTAAAATTTGAACTAAATAGGACTAAAACATAATGACTTTTCCAATGTAGGACTTAAATTTTTTTATTCCTTAAATAAGACTTAATAATAACCTAGTGGGAGAAATAATGTCTTGTAATGATAGACATTTACTTGAGTAATGACTACTTGATAATGACTAAAAGTTACTATATTGGGAAATAAAAACATATTGTCTTATATTGAAAATGTCATTATGTTTTATGTTTGAGTGTAAATTTGTCATGAAATAAATCCTTAGCTGGCTAGTTGAAGCCCTTCTTCTACCAAAATAAAACGAAGAATCCCTGATTCCTTGTACCACCGCCGGCAAATCTTCTCCGCCGTATACTCCACTTCTTTTTCCGGTTGCCCCTTCACAACAACAACAATTGATCTCTCCATTCTATAGGCTACGAGCCGATCCATCGTAAGCAATCAACACGCCTCGCTAATAATCAAGGCAACGCAGCAAATACCACAAAAGTCGGCACCTTTGCAAGGAGATGGCTGTGGCGGCTTACGGGCAGCTGAATCTGGACGAGGTTCCGGTTTGGGGGTCTCGGAGCGTGGATTGCTTCGAAAAGCTTGAACAGATTGGAGAAGGCACTTACGGGTCAGCTTTCTACCCTTTGTTTAACCGATTGAAGTTGTGGAGTTTGAGTTCATTTAAATTTTGTGTTTTTCACGTACCACTGTATATTGTGTTAATTAATTTTCTGATTTCATTCAAAGATCCTTTTTTTTAATTTTAAGTTCTATAGTGGAACATGCTGTCCATGCATCTCTTCTATGTGTCTATACATTGTTTTGTTTCTTGGTCATTGTTCTATATTCTAATTAGGGTTCTAATACGAGTTTAATGTTAGTGGCATTAACCATATTTTTCCTCTTAAATTATGATCACTGCTTTTAAAATCCCATCCTATATCAGTTAGCAGCCTACAAATGGCCTGATTTAATGCACACCTAAGCATGCCTAGGGGTTTGGCCCTATGGTGCCGCTGGGACGATGAGACGCCCAATTCTTTTTTGGACCACTGATTATGGTTATTAGATAGAAGAATGATTATTAGTCGGAGGAAGTAACTAACTGGTGATTCAGGATTACATACTCGGCTCACTATTGAATGTAGAGTGTTCTTTTTATGCTAAGGGTGCAGATGTGATAATGGATAAATCTTATTTGCTCCCTACAACGCATGCTACCCTTTGATAACCCTGTAATGTTGCCGCTGTCAAAACTATACCATTATTCTAGATGGAGGACGTTGAAAAAATAAGAGTGTCGTATGTCCAACTAGGCTTTTGGCCTATTCTACCAGATCACTACATTCTGAAATTAAATACGGAGTACTTACTCTGCACTAAATAATATGCTACTCTGACTGGATCAAGGGTTTAGATAATGAAAATCTTGTTGTAATCTATTTACAGGATAGAGAAACTGTACGAACCACACAATGATTTCTTAAAAAAATACAGAGTAAGAGATAACTTTGGGACAGACAAAAAGGAAAGTTAGAAGATTTTTAGAGCAGAGAGAGAGAGTATTTATTTCAAGCTTTATGTGATGAGATGCTTGCTGCATGGTATTGTGCTTTCACTTTGTTTTATAAAATGGATAGTGGAGAATGTTGTAGCCATAGTTCACTTGTTTTGGGTAGTTAGGAGTTTTGTACTTTCATATTGAATGTTGTGCTCTTGTTCAGAGTAATAAAATGGGAGTTGATGACAACCATATATGCTATATGGCCATAGTAGTAAGGACATCAAAGGCCTATACACAATGATTTTTTGCTACATTGATACAAACTTGTTCGCGTCAAAGTTACATTTTTATAACATTGCTATTAATGAAGTTTGTTTGTATTTCCTAAATTGTTCTTTACTATTTTTCCCACTCAGGCAAGTATTCATGGCCAGAGAGAAAAGAACTGGAGAAATTGTTGCTTTAAAGAAGATCCGTATGGACAATGAAAAAGAAGGGGTATAGTCCTTTTTCTGGTTATTCTGCTCCATATGCTCAAATCATATAACTAGAGGGCAGTAATTTTCATTTTCTATGCAGTTTCCAATAACTGCCATTCGGGAAATCAAAATTCTCAAAAAATTGCAGCATGAAAATGTAATCAAGCTGAAAGAGATTGTGACATCTCAAGGTATCTATGCTTTTTAATAGTGCCAAATCATCTATAGCCTTGTAAAAGTTTGGTAAGTTTTTCGCTTTAATATGACAAAGTGAACTTTTCTTGAAGGTCCTGAGGGAGACGAGCCAGTGAAACCAGGTACAAAAAGCTTACAATGCTGTACTTTTTCTATTCTGTGCATGTAGTGTGGATATGAGGTCGACATAGCTCTGATTCGGCTTCAATCCGGGACTTGATGTACAAAACAAACTAAAGTTCTTGCCCTAATCTTAAGTGATCAAAAACTGACTCCAAAAATTTGGATCCCATTTTGGAATTAGGTTATTCGAGTCAGGTATAAGTTTCAAATGTGTCAAACATGAATTCCCTGAATGGCCTAATTTTAGTATTATCTGAAATAATATTTGAGAGAAAATAACTTGTCGATATGTGTAATTGTCTAAGTGGTACACAATTTACAGATGTGATGAATCCTTGGATTAAGTAGTTTATTTATTTTATAATATATACCTTGTGTTTAATACTTTGGAAAAAAATATTGGGTCATGTTCAACCCATTTTTATTTGAACCCAACTTTAATTGCAGAACTTCGGGTTGAGTCTGCTAATACTGGTTGCACCCAACTATGACCACCTCTACGTGTGAATGCTCATTTTCTTCTTTTTTCCTTTTTGAGAATGTGGGAATGACATACGAGTATATGGATTGTATCTTCTTTCCATTCGAATGCAGATGCCAATAAGTACAAGGGAAACATTTATATGGTTTTTGAGTACATGGACCATGACTTGACTGGCCTCGCCGATCGTCCTGGACTGAGATTCACAATTCCACAAATTAAAGTACTGCAACCATAGCTATTGAAGATGATTACATTCGCTCCAATAGTTACATTTTATATTTTCACTATGTTCTTTTTCAGTGTTACATGAAGCAACTACTTACTGGTCTTCATTACTGTCATGTCAACCAAGTACTTCATAGGGATATCAAAGGTAATTCTTTTGGCACTTTAAGGCCGACATTCCTTTCAATTTTAAACTTCTTATTCATTTATGTGAATATTTTGTAGGTTCCAATCTTCTCATAGACAACGAAGGAAATCTGAAGCTTGCTGATTTTGGGCTGGCAAGATCATTTTCGGGTGATCAGAATGCCAATCTCACAAATCGTGTCATTACGCTGTGGTACAGGTATTTATGGGATCTGTAATAGCAACATGGTTTCGTTTTTTTAAATTACAGCTGCTTCTACCTTTCAGAAATTGGAACTGCTCATTTTTTCTGATTTGTCTGATGGTTAATAACATTTTGGCCAGACCACCAGAGCTGTTGCTTGGAGCCACGAAATATGGCCCAGCTGTTGACATGTGGTCTGTTGGTTGTATTTTTGCTGAGCTTTTATATGGAAAACCAATCTTACCTGGGAAAAATGAGGTTAGTCTCTACCATAATCTTTGACACCTGCTCCATTGGTCCCTCTCTAGTGGTTGGATGCAAATCTTTTCCCCTCATACATCCTCCCCCCCCCCCCCCCCCCCCCCCCAAGTCCCTACTCTTGAGTGAGATATATTGGGTGTGTCTGAATATTTAAGCAGATAAACATAGTTTAATAACTTGCATGTTTTGTGCTCATTAACAAAGCAATTACTTTACACTTGAAGAAATAATACAGAGTACAATATCATAAGAAGCTTAGCCCAAATTCGGAACGTATAATTGTCTTATTAAAAAATGTCTCAGGCTTTCAAATTTTTTATAGTATTTACTGAAGGCCGGTTTCCTTTTTTGACTTGGTTTTGTATAGCCCGAGCAGCTGAATAAAATATATGAGCTCTGTGGGACCCCTGATGAAATCAATTGGCCTGGGGTAACAAAGATTCCCTGGTACAACAAATTCAAGCCATCACGGCCTATGAAAAGACGAGTCAGAGAAACATTTAGAACGTTGAGTACACATCTCTAAGCATATATACTGTATTTTTGAAGCACTTAATTAGGTCAGAGGTCTGACACATTGTCAATTGTTCACTTCACAATAAACTTCTTTGCAGTTTTGATCGCCATGCCTTGGATCTTCTGGATAAAATGATGACCCTTGATCCGTCACAGGTTGTTAATTGGTTCCAACCTCTTTCCTTCGTATTGAATTGAATGTATGCAAAATTATAAATTGATTTGGATCAAAGCATACCAGCACTATGTTACTCTAGAGGCACATCATAAATTTAGATTTTCACTTTACAAACGTCTACCAAGCTTTTCTGTAACCATGTGTTTTTAATCAACTTTAAATAAATGTCATATCAATTCGTGTAGAGAATTTCTGCAAAGGATGCATTGGATGCTGAATATTTTTGGACTGACCCTTTACCTTGTGACCCAAAAAGGTATGATAAAGTATCTCTATGGAGTTTGATTTTCCTTGTTTGTGCGATACCTATGCAATTGTTATCATAAAATTGTTAGTTTTACATATGTTTTTGTGCCTCGAAATATAAATGTTCATTCTTTTGAGGCGTAAGCTTATCATTATTACTCCCTCCGTCCCTAAATGGATTACAATTTTTTTTCTCTCTCCTCTCGATAACTTTTGTTTGTTTACACGATTTCATTAAGTATTTGATAAAATAAAATATTCTTGTCACCTCTTGTTTTGTAGAACTTTTGACGTAGTTTTTTAATATGTAATTTTTATATCTTATTGATATACCAATTTGTAAATAAAATGATTTCAAAAAGTAGGAAATTTTACTCCGTAACCCGCAATTTGTAATCAAATTGGGGACGGAGGGAGTATATGTTATCCATCCCTGCAGTGCAGTTTATGCCGTTTTCTTTTCACTCTCTGTCAACATCTGTTTTAGGAAGAAAAAAACTTGCATGGGAGTGCCCGTTTGGCAACAACTTCCGCAATTTGAAAAGGCTATCTAACGGCAACCTTTAGCTTTAGCATTTCCGAAGTTAATATACACCATTAAATGTTTATCCAAAAAAGTTAATCTACACCTTTAAAATTTTATGACAAAGCCAAAGTGGTACTCATGTTTTTTTATGACATTGAAAAGAAGCTTAATGCACAGTACTTTATTTCTAGAGATCCATAAAGGCCTAGATTGGAAGTTGGGATGGTGAGTTTCACATAGCCTTAACTTCAATAATGGTCGTCGTGGAATGTCCATGCATGAGATTTTTTGTTAGTCCCTAAAGTTTAAGCTGGAGTTATTTGAGCTCTCACTTTTGCAATTGTATTGTTATTGTTTAGGTCTGCCATCGTAAACTTCATAAAAAGTTTTCTTCACTTCTTTTTTTCTCTTTTAGTCTGCCAACATACGAAGCATCGCATGAATTCCAGACGAAGAAGAAAAGACAACAACAGAGACAAAACGAAGAGATGGCAAAAAGGCAAAAGCTGCAGCACCCACAACCGCACTCCCGTCTCCCTCCCATCCAACCTGGACAAGCCCATCCTCCGCATTGGGCTGGGCCCAATAATCCCATGAACAATGCGGGCCAACCTGCAATCTCGGCCGGGCCCAGTAACCATCAATATGGAAAATCTCGTGGTCCCCCCGGAGGACAGAACAGATATCCTCCAAACAACCCCAGCAGTGGATACTATCAAGACCGTGGTGGGAATTACAGTGGCGGCCCTTATCCCTCTCAGGGACGGGCTCCTCCTTACCCTGCTAGCGGTGGTGTGGCCAACAGTGGTGGGCCCCGCGGGGCAAGTGGCAGCAGCGGCGGGTATGGGGGAGTTCCTCCTAATTACCCCCAAAGTGGTCAGTATGGCGGTTCTAATGCTGGCAGGGGCTCCAATCAAATGGGAGGTAACCGGAACCAGCAACATCAGTATGGATGGCACCAGTAATGGCTAAGGCAGTGTTTGCTTGATCAGAAACTCATAAACGGTAATTTAAAATATTGAATACTGCAGATTAACTACTAATTGTTTTTCAATTTTAAGCTGTGGGCAGATATGGATGGATGTGGACTTTTTGTGGCCAATGGTTAACTTTTCTGAGGCTGTGTATTGAATTATAAGGCTATGTTTGGAACCCGGAAAATGGCAAGAAAATTGCCTCTAAGTTTGTTTGGTTTTAAATCAAATCAGACTAGGATAATAGGATTGCACACCTCTGCTTTCACACACACACACACAATTTTTTGTAATATAAATATATTTAAGTACAATAAGTTGGAATGACTATTTTTATTGTATATATTTTGGATCTTTTTGTAATTTCAACCATAATTTCCTTGCAAATTTTCTCCTTTCCCCCTTTTCTTAGCATTTTTTTGGATTCCAAACATATCCAGAGAGATACTGCTACAAGAAATCATGGGTTCCACTCATGGTGTACATCCACCATGTGAAGTTACTATTATATACCCTCATTCCTAACGGTTTACATCCTTATTGTTGATTAGTGTACAACAGCTGTAGCCCAATTTGGCCTTTCAGCATTTGTCTTGATTTTAATCCCTTAAAGTTTTTTGATTTATTGATTCTAATTACTCCTATTATCTATTTTAGGCACAAGAAATGATTCAACACTCTTCTCCAAAATTAACAAATCATTAAAGATACAAGAATTTTTGGAACATAATGAATTATGGCTATTTATGTATAATGTAAATGTAATAAAAATACAATCTTATTTCGTTAAAATTTTCTATAATGTACCAGTGGTTGAAGTTTATATAGATTTTATTCCATAAGTTGGACTGTAAAAATGTGGAGAGAGGCCCTACATGTTAGGACTCTATTGCTACTTACCATATTCGTACTCGTATGCTGGTCAATGAAATGATAAAGTATTTGTAATCCAATTACTCTCAATTTATAATTTCATATTAGCATAATGAAATACAATTTTGAAAGTTCTCAATATAATAAATCTAATAAAGTCATTTTTACGTTAAAATACATTACGGTTTTTATTTAATTAAATTTCAAAGTTTGTTCAGTTTGACTCGGAAAAGTCAAACTTGACAAATACACCGGGACGGAGGGAGAGAGAGAGTGTGTGTGTGTGTGTGTGTGTGTGTGTGTATGGGTGGGATCTGGTAAGAATGGTTTACTATGAAAGAAATAAGAATAGATGTTATTCCTTGGATTAAAAAGATCCTACGCTCAAGATAAAACCTTGACCAAAAAAATTAAGATGGAAGGTAATAAATGAAATGCTTAAAAATAGGAACATAGTGGTGCACAATTAAGGGAGGGGCATAAACGTCTTGTAGAAATATAGTGATGCACGACTTTGTGGGGGTTTTTTTGAATGCTTGGGGTATTTATTATTACTCCACCATCCCATTTTAAATCACTTGTTTCAGTTTATTATGTTTGACGGAAATTATTTTATATAAAAAATGGTGTAATATTATAAAATAAAATTACATAATTAAAAGCTACATCAAAAGATCTATAAAATTAATGGTGACATGATTATATTATTTTATCAAATTATTAATGAAAATAGGAAAAAAGAAAGAAAATAAAGTGTGATCCTCTGAATAGAAAAATGCAATTTAGTTTGGATGGATGCAGTATATTATAGTATAAATTTAAATTTATTTAATTATTCTAATGCATTATATATTTTGTTTATAACTTTTTGTATATAAGTTCGTCCTTGACATATAATATGTCATTGGAGATTTTTTGTGAATATCTACTCGAAGACACCAATATTTGATATGAAATTTTAATATTATCTTATTATCACATTACAAAGTAAGAAAACTTATAAAATTAAAACTTATAAATAATTTTTAATGCAAATGCACTGAGATAATTGATATATGCAATGTGGTTTGCACTTTAGATTTTAATAAAAAATTATTCTATTAATTTGTGAAATAATGAACAATGACTCCTAAGTAACTTTGAATGTGATGAGAAAGCCTGAAAATGTATTGTATTTAAAACGAATGTAATAGAAATTTGAGAAATAATTTTGTTGGAATTTTTGGCATTTGAATTGGCATTAAATGGACCAATTAGGGTATATTTGTCAATAGGTCCACTAACGGTTTTAACCGTTTATTAATGGACGTGTGTTCTCTTAAATGAGATAAATGTTTTGACAATTTATACGCCAAAAATGGTAGAGGGTGAATGAGAAATTGATTCTCAGAGTTAACCCGTTAATAAAAGAATATGGTGAGGATTGCAATTTTTGCAATTTTACTGAACCAATCTTCTTTTATTAATTTTACGTATTGTTTAAAATTAGTCCATTTTTACGGAGTTAACTGGCCATTAATCTCCAATTATTCGGGACAAATTTTAAACGGAGCGTAGCGTAACGGACGTGTTAATGGCTAATTAATCACCATTAACACACCACAAATGCCATGTTTAATACTAAGCCTTAATGGTGTGTAGGTTACACCTTTTAAAATAGCTTAGTTATAAAGGTAAAAGGCTCTCTCTTTTTTTTCTTTGTGTGGTGCTTCACGTGAGAAACAAAAAGAAAAAAGGAAGAAAATCTTTCTTGTTTATTTTTTGAGAGAGCTCTTGGTTTTCCGGCCAAATTTCCGGCAATTCCCTTTAAAGTTTTTGGTCGTCAACGTTCCTACGTTGTTCTTGTTCGTTGGTGTGTGGTTGGTCCGTACAATCTCCACACACGATAGCGGTTTTATCCTGGGAGGAGGGTGCCCACGTTTTCCGGTACGGTAGGCGGGCACTACTACCTTAAGGACAGCTCCGGCGACTCCGCTATCCTTCCACGGTGTTGTGTTTTTGCAGGTTCAGTGCTTAAAGACCTCGATGCATTCTGTCCTAGTGCATAATGTCCTCGCAGCCCAGTGCATAATGTCCTCGCAGCCCTGTGCATAACGTCCTTTGCTTGCTGTCCAGTGCTTAAAGACCTCGCTGCCCAGTGCTTAAAGACCTCGCTGTCCAGTGCTTAACGTCCTCACTGTCCAGTCCTTAATGTCCTCATACAACAAGGCCGTTTGAAGATATAGCAATTTTTCTCAACTTTATTTATTTTGTAATATTCTGAATAAATTATAAATTCAGAATTTTATTTATTTTTATTACCGGGGCCGTTCATCTTCCCCGCCCGTTGTAATCCGTACATAAATTGTAACAAATTTATCTATGCAGGATTCGAACCCACATTAGTACTACATACTGCTCTACCATTTGAGCTAATAAGCAATGATTTGTTTTTTCTCAAAGACTCAACTTGGACTTGGACTTATTGAATATATATTTTAGTATTTTAAAATTGGCATAATTCAAGATATTTCCAACTCATATGAAAATGTATCACAGAACATTTTAAATGCATCATCGTTTGCAGAAATTCACTATGTTACAGTATATAAATGCATCATAGTTGTGTTGGGATAATTTCACTCTCGCATGCATCAACTTAGATTCCGAGAATGCACAGTAACGGAATGCATTATCCTTTATTTTGATTTAGAGAATATATTGTCTTCACTCTCAAGGAAATGCATTACTTTGCTTCTGATTATGCACAACAACAACAACAAAAAGAAAATAAAAAGTAAAAAAGAAGAAAAAAGCGACAATATACACCCCCAATGAACACTGAATTCCCCAGAAACATTGTAAAGGTCAGTATTTTCCAATTGTATAATAGATAAGAGTAAACAAGCAAAAAAGTAAAAAAAGAAAGAAGGCATCAACTCTAATTATAAACTTATATAGTTGAGAACAACATTTACAGTAATGCATCATGTTGTCATTCTGCTGCACCAGCTCAAAATTATTGTGCACTTCAGATTCCCAAATCCATAAGCAAACACACAAACTTCAAACATAAATAAGTTCTACTTATTGTTAAGAACCAATATCATCCTCCTAAAGAAATTTAAAACGCGTAGGAAAAAAATCAGCATGAGCTTTTTGGTTACACAACATTAAATTCTATTATGTTGGTACATATTCTTTGAGCATAAATAGTTTATTACATTTTGTAGTACCAAAAGTGATACAATTTGATAATAACTTGTCTTATTGAATATTGAGAGATATGACCCTATATATAGGGAATACAAGAGTAATCAAAGTACAAGTAGGAAAGGAAAGAATAATCCTAGTAGGAAAGGAAAGAAGTATCCTAATTTAATTATACTTCCTAATATCCCCCCGCAAGCTGATCAACGGAGACGAGGGGCAGCTTGGAACATAAGTACTCAAAAGGAACTGGCGGAAGCGGTTGGGTAAGAATGTCTGCTAGCTGCTCTGAGGAGGAAACATGATGTGTAGTCATAGTGCCTGCCATAACCTCATCTCGTACAAAGTGACAGTCTGTGCCCACATGCTTCATGCGATCATGAAGAACCGGATTTTTGGTGACACAGATAGTCGACTCATTGTCACAGTATAACTTCGGTTTGGACGGAGGAATACCCAGTGCATCAGTGATATATCGAAGCCACATAGCTTCTGCAACCCCTGCAGCCATAGCTCGATATTCAGCTTCAGTGGATGATCTAGAAACACGAGTCTGCTTTTTCGTGCACCAAGAGATGATATTAGGACCGAGTAGGAGTATGTAGCCCGTGGTAGACTTGCGATCATCTTTATCATTGGCCCAGTCAGAGTCAGAGTAGACAGATAGGTCGAATCCCCCCTTGCGAAAAAGAAGACCATGATTCAAAGTGCCTTTGAGATAGCGCA